GTTAGTGTCGTATTACTTGTCCTTGTTAAATTCTGGTCTCCGGGTGTAAAAACAATTATGTGTATCTGTTTTAAGAAAGTTGACTTTGGGAGGAAGTGAACCAATTTCAATTCAAAGAAACTAAGTATGACACGGGCCTCAGTGGAGGCGGCATTGACTCTTTGTGTTTCAGTAGGTTGAGAAAGTAGTTATGAACATATACTACATTGTAATAGAGTTAGTAACACTAAAAAAAAAAGTATGACACAGGCCTCGGTATTTCCTATTTTGAACATTCATCGTTGTTTGGTGCTATTTGAACATTAGATTGTTTTCCTCACATTATCTTAGTTTTAGAATAAATTAAATATGCATAAAGCAAAATGTTCTGCCTCATCAACTAAAAGTTTAATTAAACTGATAGTGAGACTATAGAATTATGTTTTATATATTATATGCTCAATACTCGGTTTCATGTTCTGTTCCCGGCCAGGCATAATGTAGCAGCTTGTGCGAAGCACTATGTGGGAGATGGAGGCACCACAAAGGGCATAAATGAGAACAATACAGTGATCACCAGGCATGGCCTGCTTAGCACTCACATGGCTGGCTACTACAATTCTATCATCAAAGGAGTCTCAACAGTCATGATCTCTTACTCAAGCTGGAATGGATTAAAAATGCATGCTAACCATGAAATGATCACTGGTTTCCTTAAAAACACCCTACGTTTCAGGGTAAATATAATCCGGTTTTCATTCTAAACTTAAACATCCCATACTTAAAACTTTTACTAGAAGAAATTAAACCTGAATTGAGTTTATGTTTTTCCCAGGGTTTTGTTATCTCAGACTGGCAGGGTATTGACAGGATTACCTCTCCTCCTCACAAAAACTACACATTTTCCATTGTAACCGGTGTTAATGCTGGCATTGATATGGTTAGTATTATTTCTAGAGCGTAGCTATATATGCCAGACAGATAGAAAAAGACAGATATTATACTGATTAAATTACAATTGTGCTGCAGATTATGGTTCCATTCAACTATACAGAATTTATAGATGGACTAACCTCTCTAGTGAAGAACAACTTTGTCCCGATGAGTCGAATCAACGATGCTGTGAAAAGGATTCTCAGGGTGAAGTTCACCATGGGTCTATTCGAGAACCCGCTTGCTGATTATAGCTTGGTCAAGTACCTAGGAAGTCAGGTGATCGTCATTTCAGTGTATTTACGAAGCAAAATTTACAATCAACTAATGTTATCAACTAGTTATACTCTCTAATTAACCCAATCAGCTAATTAACAGCTATCAGTTAACAGTCATTTACCAAACAGGGCCATAATATGACCTCATTGAGGATGAATCACTAAAAGTTTACCTCTTCTTCAACAGGAGCATAGAGAACTGGCAAGAGAAGCAGTAAGAAAATCCCTAGTTCTGCTCAAGAATGGTGGAAGTGAAAACGAACCGGTATTACCACTTCCAAAGAAGGCGTCGAAAATTTTGGTTGCAGGCACCCACGCTAACAATATTGGGTTCCAGTGTGGAGGCTGGACGATAGAATGGCAAGGGCTCAGTGGTGATATCACAGCCGGTAAGCCTAGTTTCCACCTTCATATATACTTTAGGCATAGTGTTGAGCATATAACTATTAATGTGCAATCCAACTATCAGTTTAGACTTTTAGTTGAGATGAAGCACATGCTTCAATTTGGTATCAGAGCCAGACTAAAGGCGAAACTTTATGCTGACAGGTACCACAATCCTGAAAGCGATACAACAAACTGTTAACCCAAAAACAGAAATCGTATTCGAAGAAAATCCAGATGCTGCATTCGTGAAGGCCACCGAGTTTGATTATGCCATCGTGGTCGTTGGAGAGCCTCCATATGCCGAGACTTTTGGTGACAGTGTGAACTTAACAATTCCAGAACCAGGCCCTAGTATCATGACAAATGTTTGTGGGACTATTAAATGTGTCGTTGTACTTGTCACTGGCCGCCCGGTTGTGATTCAGCCTTATCTTGCTCAAATTGATGCCCTTGTAGCTGCTTGGCTTCCTGGTACTGAAGGCCAAGGTGTTGCTGATGTTTTGTTCGGTGACTATGGGTTTGTTGGCAAGCTTCCTCGTACCTGGTTCAAGACCGTTGATCAGCTCCCCATGAACGTAGGAGATTCGCATTATGACCCACTCTTCCCATTTGGTTATGGCCTCACTACAGAACCTAAAATGAAGTAAAGTAGCTTTTTATATGCAAATATTTGGTAGCTTCAATTCCATCCCATTAAGATTTTGGGTAGCAATAAGCAAATAAGTCAGATATCAATGTCCTTGTATTCCTATATTTCATTAATAATAATATTGTTGGCACTTGTTTTATACATACATACATGGCATGAAAATCCAGTGTATATAACATCCATAAAAACCATTTAGACTGAGGCATTTATTTGTAGATTGTCATCAAACAATCTGTCTAATCCTTCCTTGGGTAAAAAATAATCCTATCTCAACAGCTTGTCAAGTGTCAACACAGGAAAATTCACTGCTGAAAATTATGGAATTTCCGACCACTTGAAAGTGATCTTAAATCAAGTCAAAAGCCTTGTTCCGACCACTTTTGGTATCCGGAAAAACCTTTGTTGCTATTTCCGACCACTTTTTGCTTTTGACTTGATTTAAGATCACTTTCAAGTGATCAGAAATTCCATAATTTCCAGCAATGATTAGTCCACCAGATCAGAGAATAGAATATATAAATCGTGAGATAAATATATTGAAGAATAAGCAACCTGTCTTTCATAGCCTGTATTCAAAGACATGACTACCGCCAATTTGTCATCCGCCTTTGCAATGGAGGTCACATAAAACCTTTTTTTCCAATTTTCTGAAATCCAATGATATGGAAAATTGGTAGAATCCTTAAACATCTGAGATGTATATGGTGAACCTGCAAAAGTTTAGTACTTGTAATGCACTTTGAAGTACATTTGGCCAAAAACACTTTGCCTTGTCCACCGGAACCTAGATGCTGCAAAATCTTATAGCAGAATCCATCAATATTAACCAGCAAGTTCATTAAACAGTAAAGATAATGATAACAACAAAAAGAAAATGGCAACGAACAGGAAGAATCTAAAGCAACTGCAACATTTATTACTATTCACAATTACACAATACTAAGTGCATGCTATTATTTAACATGGTATCAGAGCTCTGATACCAATCACAATTACACATTAAGCAACGACGTTTAGTACTACTATTCACAGTACACAGTAAGTAACGTCTTTTAGTACTAACATCATAACATCATAATCATAATGAACATAATGAACATCAATTCTCAAAAAACATCAATACCTTTCAAAAAAATCACAATCAACATCAAATCTCAGCGCAGAAGACTGCGATCATCCCTCCAAGTGCTCCAATCCACCTGCTCCCTCATTAGTAAAATACTTGAGGAACTTGACTGACTTTACTCACAACATGATTAACTCTATCGCTCCATAGAAAAAATCCGGCCCTCGAAAGTCTCCAGCCCAGACAGGACGAAGAAGAAGAAGAATGAATATGGGATTTCTTAAAAATTATGAAATTTGAAATCTTTAAATCTTGAAGATGAAACCTGTAAATGTGAATGTATGTTGAAGGTTGTTTATGGTTGAGTGGAATAACGGGTTCGTTTGCATACAATTATATAACCCCAACATGAAAACCAGTGTTAAGATCATTCACGCTAGGCAGTGGTGGATGGAGCATGGGGCAGTGGGGGCATAACCCCGACTATTTTTTTTTTTTTGAAAATAACCTCAACTGTTAGTTATTACTGTTAATTACTAATTACCAACTATTAGTTACTAATTGCTAATTGTTAAGTTAACTGTTAAAATTACTATTAAATTTATTAATTGCTAACGGTTAATTACTGTTAATTACTAATTACTTAATTTATTAACTTGATTAGTAATTACTTCAGTAATGATTTATTAAATAATTGCTTAGTGTCATATGTTGAAAAAGATATTTTCAATCAAGTTTCAAATGAATCAGTTCTATAACGATTTCAAAATATGAGAGAGCGTAGATGCGTATTATCCCGTAGTTTATCATAAAACTTGTAACGTAATTTGTAATTTAACAATCTTATTTGTATTTGAACATTTTTTAATTTATTTTCCTTTTGCTTCTTGGCCCCGCTGAAGAAAAATCCTGACGGACTGACGCTAGCAAGGTCGGTTTTTAGATTTTTGTGGCCCCCGTTCTAGTAAATAAATGAGGCCCTACCAAAATCACAATCTTTTTTTTTTTTTTTTTTGATACAAAGAGAAGGACTAAGCCCGTGGAAAGCTCATGTGATATTACAGCCTGTCCTCCGAGAAGGCGCCCACGACTTGGGTCAGCATCAACTCTGTCCTCCCACATTAAACCGTCAACACAATGCGGTTGATCCTCGAGGACACGAGTCCCTAAACCATGGGCCAAAGCAGCCGATGCTAGCTTGTCAGCGACTCTATTCCGCTCCCGCTTGACGTGCTTCAGCTCAAATCTCTTGGATATCTCTAAGAGCACGCACACACAATTGCACCATGTTGCTTCCCCTACCTTTTTCTAAGGCAGGCATTTATACTTCTAATTGTGCCTAGCGAATCACTTTCCACCACTATCTTCGAAGCACCTCGCTTGGCTGCCATTCGAACCCCCACTTGGACAGCCCACTCCTTAGCCTCTTCAACCGAACATGAGCCCACATTGTGCGTGAACCCTATCCATTGTCCTAAACTGTCACGCAACACGTACTCCTCCACACAGCCTGCTAACCTGCTCAGTCCTTTGCAACAACCATCAATGTTCAGCTTCCACTAACCCGCCAGCGGCTTCTCCCAGGCTGCCATTAAGGCCACAACCTAAGCACCCATATATCTGCCTAGAAATATCCAACACATACAACTTACGCACCCCAAATCATAAATCTCATCAACTTAATAATTTTTTGTTTCATCACCCCAGGAAGAAAATGTTATTGTCTTTCATTGGGAAAGGAACAGAAATTAACAATTGAACTCAAACTTGAGTTACTTCCCTGAAGTTTGTGCATATTTTCTGTTTCATTGTAAATTATGTATTCGAATCTTGTGAAAAGACAAACATTAACATGAAACAGGGACTTAATTCCTATAGTACACCAAACACTGAAAGAACTTCCATGCACTGATTAGAGTTCACCAAGATTTTGAAAGAGGAGGTGAGATCTTTTATTAAATCCAATAGATTGTTGAATGTGTCATAAAGTCATAAAAAAAAAACTCAATAATCAGACTAAATTGTTCTGAATCTATCTTACTCCAAAGGAAACACATGGTCCACAACACCAGTAACTTCCCAACTGCCAAAATTTGAAAACTCTTCAACTCCATTTACATCAAATTCTCTGCAAACCTTACTTTTCAAGTTACAAACCAAAATAGAAATTTGCTGATCGTATATACATAACAACACAATTTCCCTAGCATAATTTGTAGCAAAGCGTAGCATTCGCTTTCTACCAATGTTAATCCTTTTACTCCCTTCCAATGGAATGGAGATAGTAATCTTCTCCCAACATTTCTTAGATTTCTCCCAAATCCAAACATTCATGTACCATAGGCCTTGTAGTTTACCAACACCAACCATAGCCAATCGACCTCCATCAACTTCTAGCAATGCAGACTCTAGGAAAAGTAAACTACATGCATCAGCAAACTTTATTGATGAAACTTCATCGGGTAAATTTATCACGGAAAAACTCTCAGAACCAACGTCAAATGCTATTATATGGAATCTAGAAATCATGTCAGGTTTAGTCCACCAATTATTAGTACACCAATTATAGCAATAGATAACGCCGTCAATATAAACATGAGTATTGGAAATGTGACAGCGATTAAAGGGAAAAAAGGGGTAAAAGGCGTGGGAACAGTGTTTTTTATCTCCCTCCATGATTTATCCACTCCTATAGTAAAAACCCAATGCTTATACTCGGGCTCAATGACCTTCCCCATGATCTTCTTGTCAATATTCCTGCAGACTAACCTCAAAACCTTGTATCTTTTAGATTCCGAATCGTACCCCAACAGCAGTGCAAAGGTTTCCTTGGATTGGATTGTTGGAAGGAAAATACGTTGTCCCGTACTAACGTTGCAAGCAGCGACGTTTCCATTGGGTAAGGACACACAAATCAGGCCGTCACAGGAAGAGGAGATTAGATTGGGTTTAGCGTCCAGGTAGGCGACACGGTGGGCTTGGAGCGTTCCCCGGCGGGGGTAGTGGCGGGGGTTTTGTTCTTCGCTGAAATTTAGGGTGTAATATGCACGGGGACCGACGGCGGTGTAGTGCGGTGATCGAGACTGGATAGAGATGAGAACGCCCGTCCTACTGGGAAGTGTCGAGGACAAGCTGCGATGGAGAACGCCAAAGCCCTGATCGGCTATGAGAGCGCAGAAAAATTTAGAAACACACCTGAATCGTACTAGGGATTTAGCAGGAAGCTTGGAGAGGATCTCGACGAGAATGTCTTCAGGTAACGACAACGTTGAAACACCAGCCGTCTTCTTCGATGCGCTCATTGTATCGTATAGGGTTTAGATGCGTGGAGTATTTTTAGGGTTTAGGATGCGTGGAGTTTTTAAGGTATGGCGTCTCAGAATTGATCAAGTTGTATTTAAGCTAAAACTCTCCCTCCAAGGTTGGTTGGAATCAAATTTAAGATTTCAGCTAAAACTCACCCTCCAATGTTGGTTGGAATCAAATTTAAGATTTCCTAATTAACGAGGGATTAGAGTCTTCTACATATTTTTATGTCAGGAGTCTTCTACATATTTTTATGTCAATAGGTAGGTTTAAAAATTAACAGATAAAATATAACAAGCCTTCAATCGACTAGTGGGCACGTGAAAAGTGAGCAGTACGTTTTTGAGCAACTTACCTACATGCTATATATGCAATTATATTTTTTGAGCAATTTACCTACATGCTATATATGCAATTATATTTTTTACAAGAGAGCTATTGATTGTGTTTTTCTTCTCTTTTTTTTTTTAAAGAAAACTAAAATCCATTAATATATATATAGGGATGCACTCCTGTGCGAATAAGTGTCCCGGAGCGAATATACGAATGAATCAGCACGCGACACGTGTCCTCGGTACATGTAAATGTATTATATATATTTATATGTGCAAGTAGTTGGTATATCTATGCAAGTAAAAAGTGCAGGTAAAATCACTTACAAGTGCACCTACTTTCACCTATAAGTGTATGTAATTTTGCCTTATTAACATTCACTGATTTGAGTTCATTCTTGCGGAAGAGTTCAGCGGGTAGTTAGTACTCGCGAAAACCACCCGCAAACATTCATGCACCTATGTGCACCTACTTATAACTATAGGTGCATTTAGTATTAATGATCAGTGTAAATTTTAATTGCACCCATAATACATTTTACATGCGAGTAAATACCACTTTTGGTCTCTTGACTATCATATGTGAAGCACTTTTGGTCCTTGACTATTATTTTTTTCAAATTAGGTGCATGACTTTCTAACTAAGTATCACTTTTGGTCCTCCGGTCTAATTTTTCGACCACATATTACCAGAATTCCAACTGGAAAAATAATATGTTATAATTAGAAGTGTAGTTTGGTCCTTTTAAATTTATTTCATTTTTCTCTTTTATTTTTTTCTTCTTCCCACTTTCTTCCTCAACTCTCCGTTTAGTACACGTGAATTACTTCCTAGTTCCTTCCGTTTTCCTTGGTTTTTGTAACAAAACAAATGAAATAAAATGTCAAATTCAGTACTGATGATGGAAGGAGGACAGATATACTATTCCTTGCAATTTGACATAGAAATTCCCGAACTAACAAATGGATAGTCTAGTTCACAAATTCGATTTATTAAAAAAAAAAAAAAAAAAAAAAAACACTTGTGTTAAATGATTTGACAATTCTCTAATACCATGAAAGGCCTGAAGAATGAGATCAAAACGGGAGTTCCATTTATCAACCTATAAGTAACTTCCCTCAAATGTGTTAGTTGGTGGATTGAGAATGAATTTTCCACAAGTAACTTCATCTCCAATAGAATGGTCACAGTAATATAATCTTCTCCCATTCCTTGATTTATATATTTGCAGACTCAAACAATCTAAATTTTACTCCAACAAAAACACTTAAAATAAAAACACTAAAACCGTTTAAATACTGCAACAAAAAACACTCAAACCTTATAACAAGGAAATTAAAACACTCAGCAATCTAAAAAAAAAACACTCAAGCAAGCTAAGCAATCTGAATCTTAATTACTCTAAGGGAAACACATGGTCCACAAAGTTGTGCATGGTAACTTCCGAAGAGCTAAAAATTGAAAAGTCTTCAACTCCACTAATATCAAATTTTCTCCAAACCTCACTTTTCAAGTTATAAACCAAAATATAAAATTGTTTACAACATAATCTCCCATCATGATTTGTAGCAAAGCGCGGCGCCGCCTTGTTAATAAAAAAAGATCCTAAGATCTTTACCGTCAAGGTTCAGAATGAAGGTCACCCATATTCAAGAACATGATGGCTGGGAAAATAAGTCCGTGACTCAATTAATGGGGAATCTTCAAACTTATGACATGGAAATCCTTGCTGATCACACTAAAAAACGAAAAAACGTAGCCTTTACCACTGAAGAACAGGGTGCTACATCTGATCAAGAGGAACCAGGTGATGATTCAATTGAGTTTTTTAACTAAACAATTTTCTAAAATTTTGAAACAGGTTTCACAAAAGAGTTCCCGAAATAACAAATTTAAAAAATGATCAAGCTCGAATGCATCAAAAAATGGTTCCAAATCTGGCCGTTGTTTAAGACATAATAGAAAACATAGCAAGCAGCATAAGTAACAAGTACATTCTCTTGCAAACTGTGTGATGAATCTGATTGGCTTTGCAACCTCTCCAGAAACTGCTTCATGCCAATATTGACTATGCTAATAGTTCTCTAGATGATAAACGCGAGCATTTTACGTTCTTTTGGGAAACAAAAATTAGCCAAATAAGACAGAGAAGGTTCTTTCAAGAGTTGCAGCCTAATTGACACATATTAGAAGCTTACAGACAAAAGAGGACCATTCCAAACTGCATAATATGTGCAACAGGGTGATTGGCATGTTTAATCATCTAAAGTCTCTTAATACAAATATCTAAAAGTTCAATTTAGAAAGTCACCACATTTTCACCTTTCAATGTAAAAAACATTGGATGCCTACATCCAAGTGGTAGTTCTATAAAAATTTGAAAACAAAAATGAACAAGGGATATAGAAAAACATTACCAATTGTTGGGAGTAAAAGGAGAGAAGCTGCATATGTTGTTGGCTCCATGAACTGTGTGTTGACTCTCACCTGTTCAATAGCATATCCTCTTTGCTATAAAAAAACAAATATTTTCTAAAAAATTACTATTCTTAATGACATAGTGCTCTATATATATGAAACATAATTAAAAGAGAACAAAAAATAAAGCACAAATCATAATCTGCTAACAACAGCCACAATCTTCATGGCAAAAATTAGTTTTACACATTCACACCCTTACACTGATGCAAAAAATCATAGCTTGCTAAATACAATCAAAACCTTTATCTAAAAAAGCATTAGCTTACCTTCTCCACTCTCATGGAGGTGGCAGAGGGAGGGATCACCAAACTATTTGAACTTCTGAAAACAATTTCCTGTTAGAAATTTGGACTTAAAAATTTGTAATATCACTTTCCCCTGATTTTTCTTCTTCTCCACAGGAGAACACTACCCATTTTCCAAGGGAGGTGGAAGGTTTCTTTGGCCAGTTTTAAATGACTGGATTGGTTTAGCAAAACACACACAATCGATGTCTTTATTAATAAAACAGTCCCCATACAACATAGGGCAGGAAACAATTACAAGTCTATAATGTCAGACATCAAAACATTGAAATTTATTTAGATATACATACATGGCATGAAAATCCAGTGTATATAACATCCATAAAAACCATATTCAAATATAAACAGTAGTAATACAATATGCAACCTAATGCTTATCCTCAGTCCCAACAGAAGCCTTCCCTTCAGCTTCTTTTATCTCGGCGAGGGCTGTGTTCTGATCTTCAGCTTCTTTTATCTGTCTCAGGATGTCTGCTCTTTTTTGCTCTAGACTTTCCATTTTGGCATTAATTTTCTCCAGCTTGCTTTTCAGTTTGTCGAGACCTTTGCATTTGTTCTTGTCTTCAAGTTTTCTCTTCTTCTCAGTCTTATCTTTTTTCTCATCCTTGCATTCCTTTTCCTTCTTTTCGACCTTACATATCCCCTCTGCTTCAGTTCCATCTACATGAATCTCTCTTGTGGAGACTTCAGCCCCATGCACTCCATTGTCTACATTGTCCTTGTTCTCTTCTTTATTTTCTCTTTTCTCATCCTTCTCTTCTTTTGATTTTTCCTTGGATTCTCCGTCAGATACATCTTTGTTTTTAGCTTTCTTTTCTTTATCCTTCTTCTCTTTCTTCTTCTTCTCTTCTTTATTATGTGTTTCTTCATCCTTCTCCTCCTTGGATTCTCCCCCTGACACCTCATCTTTGCTCTTCATTTTCTTTTCTTTGTCCTTCTTGTCTTTCTTCTCTTTCTTCTCCTCCTCTCTTTCATCATCCTTCTCTTCTTTCAATTCTCCCTCTGATGTGTCTTTGCTCTTAGTTTTCTTTTCCTTATCCTTCTTGTCTTTCTTCTCTTTCTTGTCTTTCTTCTCCTCTTCTTTCAATTCTCCCTCAGATGTGTCTTTGCTCTTAGTTTTCTTTTCCTTATCCTTCTCTTTTTTGTCTTTCTTTGCTTTGTCCTTTTTTTCTTTATCATGCACTTCCTCATCCTTCTCTTCAGTTACTGGCTCAACAGCTTCACCCTCCGTCTCCTCTTTCTTTTTTGTTCTCTTTTCTGTATCCTTCTCTTTCTTGTGTTTCTTCTCTTCATCTTTCTTCTTAACTTTTCCATCATCTGCTTCCTCATCTTTCTTCTTTTCCTTCTTATCTTTGTGTTTCTTCTCCTTATCCTTCTTATCTTTTCTTGGTTTGTCTTCATCCTGTTCCAGTTCTTCATCCTCTGCATCTTTCTTATCCTTCTCCTTTTTCTTCTTTTTCTTGTCTTCTTCATCTACGTCCTCAACACTTTTCTTCTCTTTCTGCTTTTCCTTCTTGTTAGACTCCTTATGCACATCTTTTTCTTTCTTGTCATCTTTATGCTTAAGATCTTCTTTCTCCACTAATTTGCTCTTCACCTCAATTTCCACCTCAGTCTTTTCTATCTTCTCATCCGATTTGATCTTGCTCTCAACTTTCATATGAATATCTTCTTTTTCCATCCTTTCTTCTCTTAGAAATGGCACAAGTTTTGTCCTCAACTACTCTGGTTACTTTCAGAGCTCTACCTCAGTGTTTCCGCAATATCTGAGGGAGATGAACACAAATGATGATAAAGCTCTATTTTGCAAAAAGAACACAGAAAGTTTGAATGAATTAACAGTACAAAGAAATTAGCAAACAATGAAAAACTTTCATTACAGATAAATAGAATGGTTATTGTATTATGCATTTTTTTCCCATTTTCTTTAATTTTGTGGTGCTTGAATCATACAGGGTGAGAACAACTAAGAACAACTCCAAATCCCTAAACAACATTGAGCATCTCATTTTAACAACAAAATGAACATGTTTCCAAGTTAGAAAGGCCCTCGGGAGTAGCTATTCTTGTAGGTAAATCTCACTCGTACAGTCACACCATCAGTGATTCCAATTTCCAACACAGAGAGTTAAAATCATTTATCTTAGGGAGAAATTACAAGGAATCCAAACAGCTCAAAACACTGCTTTCAGATCTTATATCTGCAGCATTTATTTTTCTAAGCATTTGTATGCAATAATTTCTTTTTTAATGTTGATTTTTACTTGGATTCTGGAGAGTGCACATCCAAACAATTCTTTCATAAATGATTTCAATGCCAGTTCACTACCAAAAACACAGTCTACGTTAACTAAAACTCAGCACAAGACCACAAGTACAGTCTACCTTAACTAAAACTCAGCACAATTACTAAGTATTTGATACCAGTTACTATTCCTATGCTTGAACAGTTGAACCAAACGCCCCTGAACTATTCTCCACTATCATTTCCATTTCCTATTGTTTCCTTTCCCTTAATTTCCAAATCCCTCTTCGGAAACAACAAGTAATGAAAATCCACGGATACGCAAGAAACGAATTATTCAATTTCTTAAGCTGAATTCTACCGCACCAAACTCGCCACCATTCAATCGGACTCAATGATTCCCATATAAATTATTTCGTGCGAAAATTAAAATCACTTCCCATCTGATCTCGGATTTCTGGATCAGATTCTCATCAGAGTATCAAATCAAAACCTCCATCAAATACAGCACGAATGAAATTGATCCGAACAAGGATGAACAAAAAAAAAAAAAAAACAATCAGAATTCGGAATGATGTCTGAAATACGAAATTAAAGTTACCTGCAGGCTGACAGTACGAGCTGAGGCTGAAGAAAAGGATCTGTCTCTACTGTATGAGTGTATGTATGATAAGCTGCAACAAGGCGGGACTGGGACGGCTTTATCTAACACCGAGAAGGCCTTGTTTCCCACGTATCGCTGAATCAGACGCGCAAAGGAAGTTAAAGAAGTTTCCTTTCCTTTCTAGAGAGGTACCTGTTTACGCGTAAAATGTACGTATTGCCCGTGTATAAAATATTCATTACCTTAATTTTTTCATATTTTATCCGTACTACTTCTTATTTATTGGTCAATCTAATTTTTTTTCTTTTTTTATAGTATTTTTACTTGTTTTTAAATTTGATTATTGTGTTTACAATATAGAGAAAAAAAATTTAACGTAGAAATCGAAAGATAAAAATCACATACTTTTTAGACGATGCCAAACCAAATTTTAGTATATTGTAAGTATTTTTGTACATGTGGTATTGTTGTCTGGAGAAAATCTTTTTTTTATAGGATAAGAATTTAGGGGTGTTCAATTGTTAACCGAACTGTTTTAACTGAAATTTTTAAAACTTTAACCGTTTATCGAACTGAATTTTGTATTACCGAATCAATCGGACCGAAGTTTTTTTCAGTTAATTGGTCGATTAACCAAACTTTTTTAAACTAAATTTTTAAATCTTAAAAATAATACCTATAATAATAAATCTAATTAAAATAATACATATAATAATAAATCCATAAGAAAGTATACAAAAATAATATCATAACAACATTACAAATTTATAGGAATTTTACATATTAGATTATATATTTATTTATTTATAAATATATTTATAATTCGGTTAATCCAAGTTTCGCACCGAATTAACCATTAACCGAAATTTTAAAAAACCTTTAACCATTAATCGAACCAAAAAAGTTTGGTTAAAAAACGGTTAATCAAACTTTGTCAGTTTGATCGATTAACCGTAAATTTACCGAAGTTTGCATACCCTATAAGAATTGTAGATGATGAGTAGGGAGGTATTCATCATTCATGGATAATTAATAGGGTAATAATGGGATTAATGGGTGATAAATGGAAAATAATGGGTAATAAAGGGGTAATTAATTGGGACTAATGGGTAATAAAGGGGGTAATTAATTGGGTAACTAATGGGTATTAAAGGGGTAATTAATTGTGGTTTATGGAGGAGTACGTGTTGGGTATCCATCACCCACATTTGGGGTAATTAGTTGGCGTGTTTGGTAAAATAGTTGTTAGCCATTAGTTGATAGCTGTTAGCTGATTGTCTTAATTAGAGGGTATAAATAGTTAATAATATTAGCTGATTGTAAAAAAAGTGTTTTGTGAATTAGCTGTTAGCTAATAGTTGTTTGGTATAATTTCTTTTCATAAAAAGCTAATTGAAAAAGTTGATTGAAGTAACTTTTTGAATTTTAGCATTTTGGAGTTGCAAAAAGCTAATTAACCAAACATTTATATTGATATTTTAACTAAATCAAACAATTAATAGTGGTCAAATAAGCCAAAATTGACCTATAGACCAATTTTTTACAAAACAAAGCCTTAGGTAAGTTTAAATCAATGAAATTCACATCTCATGATATCAAGAAAAATAAATCACACCTAAGGGGTGAGATTTTTTTTTTTTTTTTTTTTTTTTAAACTTATTGAATATCTACTAACTTTATTCAATTACATATTTATTCTTATTTAATACTATCATGTTATAAATCTCTTATAAATATAAGAAATTTGACTCTTCCACCATCACACATTCTTTATCAAAATATTCAAAAACAAAGTTAAAGTTTTCACTTTTTCATATGTAATTTGATTTGTAATATGATTAGATTTGCAGTTATACATATATTATATTTGTGTATGCCTTACGTGTGTACACGTATATTCCTATTCCTGTATATATATATATATATATATATATATATATATATATATATATTCAATGCATGCTACGCAAAAACATATGGCCATATTTATATTTTAAAAAATAACTAACAAATTTTTACTAATTAAAATCTAAATGAAATAAAATTTATTTATTATATTAATTCAATATATAATGTCTAAAAATATTATTATCATTAAAGAATATCACAAAAGATATGATGGATGGATGTGCATGATAAAAGTAATAACGGAAGTTATAACGGTAAGGGTATTTTGTCCAAAAAATTGTATAGCACAACTCTAAAAGCACAATGTACAAAAGGGTTAATTAGCACTAAAAACATGAACATAAATGAGGGATATAATTTTGATTGAGACTTATTATGTTTTTAAATATATTCCTATGTATATGTATGCAGTATTGCATAGTCTCCCAGGTGAAAGATGAGTGAGATATGAGTCGTTGATCTAATCTAGATCAATTGCTAAAATTGAAGGTTTTTTTTTTTTTTTAATGATCTTCCTGCCAACATGCATGCAAATGCAAATAAGCAACTGTCTCAAACTGATGCAGATTATGTTGTTACAAAGTGTATAGTGTTACAAGTTGCACACTTGCACAGTTTGTGTGTGTGTGTGTGTGTATATATATATATATAGAGTAATGATTATATGAGTTCACTTGTTCCCATGAGTCCTGGACAAATCCAATCCATTAAAATGTGAAGATCAGACTTAAAATAAAAAATTATTAAAATCTCATTCCCTGATTTGTTGCACTGTTTTGGCTAAGTAATCAATGGGTAGGGGTAAATTTGGAATGCAAATTACACATTAATCCCAAATTTTGTAGGATTTTAATTATATCTTCTAAAGTGTGCAATGTAATATAAACATTTGTGCAAATTCAATTTGGTGGGGCAACTGGTGCAATAGTTATGCTGTGCAACCGAATGTACCATGCGCATGGTGCATACGGTTTAAAACGACGTCGTTTTGATTAAAAACGCGCGTCCCACTTTAAAAAAAAAAATCAGGTTCGACTCTCAGCAATAGCATTATTGTGGATATATAGTTATGAAATTGTGGTTATATAATTATAAATTTATGGATATTTAGTTCATTCATTGTGGATATTTAGTTCAATCATATATAGTGGATATTTAGTTCATTCATTGTGAATTTTTACTTCATTCATTCATTCATTGTGGATTTTTACTTCATTCATTCATTCATTGTGGATTTTTACTTCATTCATTCACTGTGGATATATAGTTATGAAATTGTGGATATATAGTTATGAAATTGTGGTTATATAGTTATGAATTTATGGATATTTAGTTCATTCATTGTGGATATTTAGTTCAATCATATATTGTGGATATTTAGTTCATTCATTGTGGATTTTTACTTCATTCATTCATTCATTGTGGATTTTTACTTCATTCATTCATTCATTGTGGATTTTTACTTCATTCATTCACTGTGGATATATAGTTATGAAATTGTGGATATATAGTTATGAAATTGTGGTTATATATTTATGAATTTCTGAATATATAAAAATGCTATTGCCGGGAATCGAACTTGATTTCTTCTTTAAGTGGGACGCGCGTTTTTTTAACCAAAACGGCGCCGTTTTGCAACCGTATGCACCTTGCAAGGTGCATTCGGTTGCACAGCATAATTTGCGGCAACTGGTGGCATGTGGAACGAAGGTGTAGACGCCGTCGGGGAATACTATGTTAATTGATGAAAGCCAGTAAAATTTTAGAGTGAAGTCATCATATACTCCTAAAAACATGCAAAATAGCTTTAAATAATATTAAACCAATTTTAAATGCATACACAAATTACGAATCAACCCTTGAAAATAAAACCAAAAAAAAAAAAATCATAAAATCCTAGCCATACATAATGTCAAGATGAATGGGTGTAGATTGTCTACACCAACTCATGGGGAGTGATGGACTCACTTGAATAGTGGTATATATATATATATATATATATATATATATATATATATATATAATTTCTCTTTGAAAATATAGTGACTTGTTTGCTTAAATTTTGTACAACATTTTTTTACATATATATTGATACGTGTAAGTAACACCCCGATAAATCCTCGACTTCATACTTAAACTACTTAATCTTTAAGCAGCACCTTTAATAATATAAAGTTGGTACAACATTATTATTACATTACAATTGTTGCACCTTCAATTCGCTTCTTCAATATATATGCAAGCTAGCATACTAAACCCTACCAAATAACGTGGTAGATAGCACGTACAGTTTTGGGTAAGAAGTAATTATTAATTAATAAACTACTTTTACATGGCTTCTTCGAAGCCACAGCTCGAACATTACCATATGAAACGCATCAAAATCCACCGGAAAATTGTGCCACCGGAAATGCCTCTGCACCTTCACCACATTGCTCTGCAGCTTCACATACTCCTCATGGCTGATCCCTTTAAGGATTTCTTTCAGTTTTGGGATATCCATCGAAGAGACCACCACCGAGAAGCTCTCCCAGTTCAAGGCGTCGGCGAACGGGAGGTCGTAGAAGTCGGCGAGGATCACCGGCACGCAGCCGTAGTAGATGGCGTCGCCGATTCGGGCGGTGTTGATCTCGAAGCCCTTGGCGTGGATGCAGAACTTGCTCCCGAGTAGCGCCTCCGAGTACGGCGTTTTCAGGCGGCTGCGGTGGACGGAAATCTCGGAGTCGTCGCCCCACGCCGCCACGAGGTCCTGCCGCACGCGCGAGTTCAACGCGCCGGCGTAGAACGCTAGGGTTTCCCTCTCTTCCGGCGGTTTTCTCGGCGGATCTCCCGGGCGCGGCCAGATCTGCGGCACGGAGGCGTCCTTGTGCGCCACGTACCCCGGCAGGAAATAGCTGGAGGAGCAAACCACCTGAATCGCGTTCATCTTCACCTCCGCCGCCTTCTCCATCGCCGACCTCCCGACGGAGTGGCAGCAGACGTAGAAATGGTCGGCCCCCGCCGACCGGTTCCAGAACGGGAACTCGCGGCTGACGTACGAAACGTAATCCTTCACGAAATCCTTAATCCCGCCGACGCCCACCCGCTTGTCGTTCCTCAAACCGGCGATCGAGAACGGCAGAAAGAAGAGATGCGCCTCGTTTGGATCGTTGGTGATAAAGTGGCTTCTGAAGATTGATTTCTTGAAGTAGCTTTCGCTGGCGTAGTTGCCGCCGGGCTCGTAGTCCACCGGCAACAGTACGTTGGCGAAACGGTCGTTTTTCTTGTGCGGGTAAACGTATATCTTTAAGGTGCGGTTCATCTCCTCGTACTCCTCGAAAAACAGATCCTTGTCATGAAACACTTCTTGCATGATCATGCTTTTGACTACTGCACAAAATTATTTAAATCAATAATCACCAATTAATTCAGTATATATACGCACTCGACTAAGAGAATGTTGATAAAAGTTAAACTGATAACTTTTAAGTAATATAATCTTGTTACATCTACTTATTCACTATTTCAAAAGTATACTTGATTTAATCTTTGTTCAATTCAACATGGTCTTTACGCAACCTATAAGTTGTTAATTAATCTTTATTGAATTCAAAATGGTCTTTACCCAACCTATAAGTTGTTACATGATGCATGGTAATACATAGGTGATCATGAAAATACACTCTGGTATACAGGTATGAGTAGAATTGGTTATAGTATGGAAGCTCGGGTAATTAAGATCGAGGGTCAGAGGGTCCCGAGCTACTAAGTATCCTAGAAGACAAATCCTCCAATGTCCCCCTCCTCGCATTTACATAGGGAATGGAGGAGCGTCCGGCTTGCCCGCCACATATTCCACATGCATTGAGGAGATCAGTGGCTTTACAAATCAATACACATGGATCGTGATCTGTGACATGCTATTGCTTATCCTCTAGAATAGGAAGTGCTCTAGTCCGAATACTCGATCCAAACTTCAAAGTCGGGACCAGGCTAATATTCAGTGGCAAACTCATATCTCTCCATAGATCAGGTCGGACCTCTTATTAGGTCGGGAAGCGACCTGCTCCGTGCATTAAAACATATCTGATCAGGTGCTCTCTACATATGAGTTGGTAGACCTGAGGTATATTCCCTATCCATAGGATGGAGTTTGATCCAATCAAGTTAGGTAGCAGCTAGGTACGAATACTATCTTACAAGTTCAAAGTTCAACTATATTCAAAATTTCAAGATTGTATTAAGCAATGCCTTATTTAATAATTCAGTTATGTATTAAGATATTTGAATTCAACTCGACGTAGTTACTTTGAGTTACTCAAGTTCAACCTTATACATGAGTTGCACAAATATAAAACTTTTCCTTATTCTCTTATCCGAGTCATCAAGTCAATTCCATCACCCAATATAGACATGCACTACAAAGTATGACAAGAGCTACCCACTTAAGTAGACACTGACTAGTTTGAATTATTCTTTTAGAATTTATCAAAAAGTAGAATACAATGTGAAAAGAACCTTTCAATTTTAATTTCCTTTTATTTTCTATATCTTTTATATGAAATACTAGTTAAATTATATATACATTCTAACTCCAAGACTATGTGGTCTAATGGTATCTAGGTTGGACTTCCATTTAGAAGGTTATGAGTTCGAGCCTTAGTGGAGGCGTTATTGGTTCTTTGTGTTTCAATTGGTTGGAGGCCTTATTGGTTCTTTGTGTTTCAGTAGGTTGAGAAAGTATATGAAGAGTTATTGGTTCTTTGTGTTTCAGTAGGTTGAGAAAGTATATGAAGAGATACTACATAGGGCTACAGATTAATCTCAACTTTTATGCCCATCGAGAAAATGATTAAGGGCTGAAAATTAAAGAAAAAACGCAAGCAACATTTATGACTTTCTGTAATTACAATTGTACATTATGAAACGTACAATTGACAAATTAACACTGTGTTTGTGGATCGGATAACCGATTGTGCATTATTTGAAAACTATTTTCCAAATGAACTATTTAGCGTTTTCAAATGCACAATCATAATTACAGAAATGTCACCATATCTTAAATTGACGAATGAAATTAGTCCACAAGTTCTCACATGAAATTTAATTCTCATTTAAATATGTTTCTATATATATAGTTTGTCATAGTCTCCCATTTTATCCAAATTTTCTATTTTCTTACCCCAAAAAATTTTCTATTTTCTAATCTTACTTATGAATGAGCTTATTTACCCAAATTATCACATTTCTATTTTATTTAACCGAATAAGGATTATGTATCAATCAATCATAAGCATAACCAACAAGAAAGAATACCTAGTTCTGTCTACCTCATCCAAAACCCCACCGGAAATTAAATGTAACTTACGTAAGGTAATAATAAATAATATTTTTTCCTGGATAACAAACTTATATTTAAATTTTATCTCTACAATTATCCCAACTCCTAACTAGACGTGGCCAAAAAACATTGAAAATTTAAAATATCATCCGACACCAACTTACAATATTCTTATATAAAAAGTGACTAAATTCAATCGTCTATTATGGTTCATCAATGGTTGTGCACTTTAGTAAAAAAAAAATATCAATTTTATAATTATTTACAAATTTTAAGAACATATATATATATATATATATATATATATATATATATATATATATATAAAAGGTAATAATAAATAATATTTTTTCCTGGATAACAAATTAAACTTAGATTTAAATTTTATCTCAAATCTACAATCGTCCCAACTCCTAACTAGACGTGCCCAAAAAAACATTGAAAATTTAAAATATCATCCGACACCGACTTACAATATTTCAATATAAAAAGTGAGGACTAAACTCAATCGTCTATTATCGTTCATCAATGGTTGCATACTTTAGTAAAAAAAATTAATTTTATAATTATTTACAAATTTTAAGAGCGCACACACACACACACACACACACACACACACACACACACATATATATATATATATATATATATATATATATATATATATATATATATATACACGCGCGTTCCAAGTAGATGATTCCATAGTTGTATCATATTTCCTGGTCGTCTGTTTCTAACGTTGACGTTGTAGTTTTATGTAACAAGTATTCAAACATGATGAAAGATTCTTTTGTTTCTTTTCTTCCTAAACTACGCAATTTTACTTTTCCCTCTCTCTCTATGTGTGCAAAAATAAATGATAAATAAATAATAATAATAATAAAATGGTCATGCGTATATGAGTTTGGTTTACATGGCTATCCATATGATACATTATAGTAATTTAGTTTATCCTCACGCATGCCTCACTTTCGATAATAAGCTCATATTTTAGGGCATATGCGTTTAAGAAATTAAATTTCCGACTCCATAGTTAAAGGATTCAAATTTCTATCATTTAACTCAACTTTTTTAGCTTTTTTTTTTTTAAATTTTATTATTGAAGATTAAAATCATCAATACCTTCATCACTATATATGAACACTTGATAAGTATTATATCTCTTTCAAATATACTAAATTAATTAATTTTTTAATTTATGTATGATAAATATTATGGAGTATAAAAGAAAATGACATAGTTGGCATCAGTTATATCCAAGTATAGACTCGATTTTATAGTTATTGTCATATATATTTTTTGTACGGCCCCTCAATGGCTCAGTCATTCTTGATTCTCGAATTGAAGTAACAATTTTGGTCCATTTAGACTATTAAAAAAAAAAGTCAATGATGAGGCTTAAATAAGAGGGATGAATATAAAATTTTGATTTTCTTTTGACACAATAATGTAACATTCCGAGTGAGTTTTTTATTTTTAATTTTAAACAAATAAGGAGAATATAAGAAATCAAATTTTCATGATTATTCAAGACCAGCCATTTTAGTTCAAAATTTCGACACAACAATAAGAGCATCATCGGTTTTCCCAAAAAAAAAAAAAAGCATCCTATAGGCATAGATTTTGAAGAGTTTTTACATGTGTGACCCGGAAAGAAAAGATGAGAGGAAGGGAAAATGGAAAAAACAAAACAAAATTTAAAAATAAATAAATAAAGGTGTCAGATTAACGCGCCCAGCAAGCACGTGGAGTCCACGCGCCCGATTGGGCGCTCTTAGTGCATATAACGCTCATCGAGGAGAATGTTCACTTATTTAGTGGGGTCCACATATTTGACAAAAACAAATGTAGTCTGTATGTAAAGGTCAAATTTACTCTCTCTCGTCCACATAAAATTATCAATCACCGGCAAAATCTTCTCCAAAAACAACTATTATAGTTGCCCTAAGTGCTGAAGTCAGTCTATACTTGGTACAACTCGCATATCAAATATGTCATTTTCCTAGTAATATTATATATAATAATAAACTTTATTCAAGAATATTTTACAATTTAATTTAATTTAATTTGCTGGTGGCCATAAGCTCCAGACATGCTATGATGGTGATGAATTTTCTCTCTTTTACTTTTTTTTTTCCTTGAACAAATGGAAAAGGTAGGGAAATATTATTCTCAAATACTTTATACTACAACGTTAATTTCCTCGAAATCGACCTCATAAAAAATAAATACTAAAAATATTCTACATAAACGATATAATTTTAATTTGTATAAATAAATATGAAAAGAAAGAAGACGAGAGATAAATACGGACTTTTCTTACCGGAAGAGTTGACGGCCGTGAACTCTCCTTGCGTGCTTTGACTGATCACGTTAACTGGACGTGGACGAGTACTCGCCGGCGTTGATACTCGCGGGAGATAGTCAGAAAACTCAGCCGCGGCCGGCTGCGACTGGTTAGTAGGCCGTCCGCCGCCGCCACCGGTGGCGGCGGCGGCGGGAGGATTCTGGTACGGGGTGTTGATTATGGAAAACTCGACGGGGGGTTTGACGCGGAGGTGCGTTTGGTTGGGGTGAATCATGAGCAAGACTTTGGAGGTGGAAGCGATATACAAAGTGATGAAAATGGCGGTGGAGAAAGCTAGGGCGGCCGGCACCATTAACGATCCTCTTCCTCCTCCTCTGTGCGAGCCCGCCATTTTTGCAGAGAGAGAGAGAGGAAGGAAATTGAGAGGTTTAATTTGTTTTGCTTACTTGTTCTTTTGGAGAAGTCCATTTTTTTGTTATGTATTATATTCACAGTACAGACTGCGTATAGGCAATTAGGCAAAGTATATAATTAATTGCATCCTATTTATTTTTTTAATATTATTTTACTCTGGTCAAATACCAGCCTCCTTATTTTAGTACTGAAAAATGTAGTTTTAATTAATTTTCAACCCAAAAAGAAAAATTATTGGCTCGAGTGAAAGGGCGATTAATGGTCCTGCTTGAGAACGAACTTATGTATATACGGTAGAGTTTTCTTCGAATGAGAATGAATAAGTCAACTAGATTAGTCTTATCTCACAAGATATTATGCATCCAACTTGCAAAACAAAAAACAAACAAACCAAATTATATAGAGTTAATACCCAAAATCGTCCTCGACTATAGTGGTTTTTCTCAATTTCGTCCTAAACGACTTTGGTGACCTAATATCGTCCCAGACTTTTGTGTTTCGCTCAATTTAGTCCCAGACTTTTGTGTTTTTGCTCAATTTAGTCCCTCATTTGTTATTCTGTCCATTTGGTGTTAAATAAATAGACAATTCAATAATTTTAATATTGGCATCTCTTTACTCATAGACATGGGAACTGCGAAATCCTTTTTTTTTTTACGAATTACTCCCAGAATTACTCCTAAAACTGCGAATATAAAATTTGATTTGCAGGTCCGGGAGTAATTCTGGGTGTAAGTCGTACAAGAAAGAGGAATTTCGCACTTCACAAGTTGAAAGTAAAGAGAGATCAATATTGACATTCCCTTTATTTAACACCAATTTGACAAATAACAAATGGAGGACTAAATTGAGCGAAACTCAAAAGTCTGGGATGATATTAGGTCACCAAAGTCGTTTAGGACGAAATTGAGAAAAACCACTATAGTCGAGGACGATTTTGGGTATTAACTCAAATTATATACAAGGCTTTGAAAAAAGTCACACATATATATAGATAGAGGTGGTGAACCATTCTGGACTATTGATATGATATGATCTGATGGCTCTCATTTCACGTTTATTTTTATCTGTTATTTTAATTTTTTGGGCGGGGGTAATGTGGTAAATTTTGTCATTTTTTCCTTTTTCTTTTGAGTTATTGTAGACGTTTCTTTCCTTGATTCCTTGATTGTTTGATTCTAGGCCGTTATATTTGATAATTTTATTATTTTCGGTCTAGGTTACGATTACGATTCTTCTAGCTTCTGTCTTTGGCCGGCGTGTTTTCATCATTCGTTGGTGAATCTATGATTTTAGGGGGGGGGGGGGGCGGGGGGGGGGGTGCATCATAGGCGGGTGAAATGTGCATTAATGCGTTTAGTGGGATGTGCATGGTAGGACATTAGGTTGTGTTTCAATGCACAATCAAAGAGGTATGTATTGATGCACGACATTCGGTTTAAGATTGAATACACGAAATTCTGTATAGAAATGCCGCACGACCAAAGTAATAAATTACACTTTTCATGTAGTTCGGTGACTAATTTAAAATTTTTTTTCTTTTTTTTTTTTAATAAAAAGTTTTAGTTCAAAGGATCAAATGTGAAAAAATCATGAAAATTTTGCACTAAACGTTGCAAAAACCATACTCAATAAACAAATGTGAATGTGAAATTATAGCTAGTCATGTGACTTCAAATAAAAAATACTCAATTATAAAATTAGTTACACAATTATGCTCTCTAGATATATGCACTACATGATGAACCTCCAAGTACCTCATCTCTCGTTTACAAGACTCAATGAGACCATTCACTTGGACGCTAAGCTAGGAACTTCTCCACCATTTCTATTTATTAATTACCAATAAATTGATTGGTTGATCACAAATTTACCAAACACATACATGTCACTATGTCAGGAAAAAAAAAAATTGTGCTAAAAATAATAATAATAATGGGATGACTGTAGCGTGACATTTGAATTCATAATAATTAATAAGTCAAATTAGACCGCTAATTAATATGAAGTTGACATAATTATATTATGTCGATTAGAAACTCTCCTAATCCTTATTACCGTTTAAGCTTAAAACTATATTTAAATAATAATATAACATTGATTGAGTGATGATGGAAACTCTAGCTAAAAGTTAAAAAAGCTTTGAGTCAAAATTTCTCCTGAATAAGATTTAAATTATGCGTGTAGTATCCAAATCGTACCGAATCTATATTAATCTTACAAAGTTACACTAGTGAACCTAAATAGATGTTGTATGTAAAAATATAATAACAACTAAAAAGTAAAAATAAAAAATAAAAATTTCAAAGTTATGATTAAGTGTAGAAAAATCACTAATTATGCTTCTAATACAAAGGTATTATTACATGTAGTCATGAGACAAAAAATTAAAATTTTACTTGCAATAGGTCCTCACTGTGTATGTATATTGTTATTTAGGGAAAAGAGTTATGTGTGTATACATACACAATACTATATACATTCCATGCAGTGTATATAGTGTGTAGATAGGATTAGACAACAGCAAAACATTATAATTGATGAGTTTAAGATGAAAGTTTGTTAGCAATGTCCTTTTCAAAATTTTGATGTTTCGTTTTTTTTGAGTTGTTTATAAGTTAGTTGCACTTTATTGTTTTTTTAATCTCTTTGACTAGAAATGCATAGTTTGCATTATCTTAGAATCTTCCCCCTTTGTTTTTTATCACAATTTTAATTGCATGGGTCATGGACCACTTACATTATTTAGTTAAATTTTTATCTATTTAATTATTAAATAAATCTGTTTTTTTGGGATAAAGAAAAATCCGCAGCCACTATTCGAAGTGTGTATAGTATTAGGTAAATTTTGTTCGTGTGTAATAGTACGCAAAGCAAGCTCCGCTTCTATTTAATAGTCCGCCCACCACATGTGAGGTAAACCGCACTAGAAAGGCCCCAACCAAGTGAGTATTAGCGAAAAGACCTTCAAATACAAGAATCATGTTCCACCACTTAACTAGTCTTTTTAGAGCGAAATAGATTTATTTTTTAATTCATGATATGGTCACCTAATTCATAAGTACCCATTGGTATTACTACATGAAGGTGAACTTAAGTGGATGTTTGGTTGGATGGAAAAGTTTTTTTATGGAAAATATTTTCCTTACAATGAAGAAAAGTGTTGTCTTTTGGTTTGAAAAATGAATTCTTCAAATTTGAAGAAAATAAAATCCTTGGTTGGACATGAGATTTTGTTCTCCAGTGAAGATAGGAAGAAAAAATGATATGGTTTGACTATTTTACCCTTGTTTTCTTTCTTAATTATATTACTCTTATTAGCAAGCACATTGTGCTCAGCATGTAGTGACTCTTCCATATGGAAAGTCATGAGATCAAGCCTTAGTGGAGGCGGTGTTGACTCTTTATGCTTCAACAGGTTAATAAAGTATGTATGAACAAATACTACAATGTAACAGAGGCAGTAGCTTTCAAAAAAAAATATTACTCTTATTAATTTGTAAGGACATATAGGTCTTTATACTCGTTATTCTTTATAATTCCAAATCTAACCAAACAATAGAATTAATATTCCCAATAAATTTTTTTCACCAACCAAACAATGAAATTCATCTTCCTAGTAATTGCATTTTCATGAAATTTTAATTCCATAAAATATTTTCCACGAACGAAAGAGACCCTAAAAGGTAAATTTAGAAGTGGAAAATGACATTATCACTATATGAGGGTGTTACAAGGTAAATTTAGTTGCACTAAGTAGCTTGTACAGCCAGTTTGGGATTTTACTAATATTATTGGATTATGCTTTGTGCAACATTAGGCAGCAAGGAGTGAAAATTGTGTGCCGCAAATATACATACACTCGGTCAAAATTTCTTAGAACAAAGATGAGAGATCAAATGACAATCTGTCAAGTGATTGTCCAGTTTATGTTGATTCCACACTAACAAAAGGGTATTCCAATGAACAATAGCAGATTAGCAGAAAACATTTTAACACTATCGATCTCGGTCACGATCACGGCCGCCGAAAGCCCGAAAATGAATATTTACAACTGCTTGCTGCAAAAACAGGGTTTGTTGAATCGAAAGCGCCAGGGGAAATATTGGATGGAAGAGAAACGAAGATATCTTCTTTGCCCGTCCATCGGCATTGCCAGCTTCAGGTCCTAATAATCATGGAAGCTCAGTGTATAATAAGAATGTTGAGAAAAAAATTGAAGCATCCAATGACATAGTACTATAGTAGAAGAAAATCAAGAAAACTTTCAAGAGAAACAGTTGGCACCTGCTTTGATTTTGAATTTGAGGTTATTATTATTCACTTGCTGCCTCCTTGAACTGAATTTGATGGGATGATCAGTGGATTGTCTGTGCCGATCGGCTGCTGAGATAAGCTGAACCAGGAGAGCAATCGGGAAGTTAAAGCTTAATGTAACGCAGATCATTAACCGTCGGAATAAACACCCATGACTCTTTCAAAATGGTTAGGGGACATTTAGTTTACGGAAGGTAAGATTCCGGGAGTGTGTTTGTATAGTTAAGACTGTCTGAATGTAATAGTACCTTGAAATTCACTACAGAAATGATATATTGGAATATTTGAAAATAATGTTACGATACCTAAGAAAAGGTAGGTAATCACATCACCTTCATTTTTACCCCATGTTCTTAAATGGCATTACCAGAGGTTATCGCATAACTTAACAAGATTATATAAGACTACCTTGCTCAGATTACCCTAGTAATGTTATATTACTCGAAGTAAACACCCCTTTTGATTTACTTGCAACAAATGGGAGAGCTAAAACAACCAGGGAATAAAGGTTAATGGGTTCTTATTTCCTAAGTTGTTTATGGCAAAGAAAGCAATACACGTAAATGACCACTTATGAGTGATTGATTCATGTTTAGAGCTAAGATATGCTTTAAAATTTTGTCAAGATTACAGAAGAAACTCTCAATTGCTAAAACCATTAACCTGTTTGGTATGGTCCATTACAGAATTTCAGGAATGGGATAGGATTAGATTTTGGACTATTCTTTAGTATTCTCCATAACTTCACACACTTTTTACCATTCCAGGAAGGAATCCATCTATTATTCTATTTCATAAAATATTTTGGTCCATTTTATTTCTCCTTACTGTCAAAAATACATTCAATACTCATTTCTTGTGTAGGATTCAGAGAGAACTAAAATGTTTTTAGAAAACAGCATTACTATACAACTCAAGCATATTTAGCGAGTTGAAGAAAGAGAAATTAGAGTCGAACCTTTTCATCATATCTGAAGAGAGATTGATCAAAATATGGTGAAGGACTCTGAGATTGACAACTGAAAGGTAGAGTTGCCAGCACCTTCTTAACAAACTGTAATTCAAAATCCATGATATGAATATGAATACAGACCCTATTTACCAGATTTGGTAGAGAAAATTAAAACAGGGAAGTAAAACTGAATTGCCATTTTGTGATAATTACCTGAGAAGAGCTACTTGCTTTATTTTTAGTACACCTTAGTTGCTCAAGGGCATGAATATTATTTGAATGAGTAGATATGAAGTTCATATGCAATGAACTTCTTGACGATGCATGAAAGTGATCGCAGAAGAATTCAAACAATGAATAAAGCTCATCAGCTGAATTCTGTGGAAAAAAAAAATGAGGGGTTTCAATCAAATACGGAAGAATCTTTAAACAGAAAGAGAACTCTGAAGAAGAATAGGCAGAATATCCAAAATTTTAACACAAAGATACCTGATAAAAGGCAACTATTTCAGTAGTCTCCATGTTATAAACAGCAAAAAATGCAGGATGGTTATCGGCATTTCGTGACATCTGCAGTGCCGATGTCATTCAATCAGACATGTCTATCCAGACTTCAAATTTAGGCCATAGGCTTTCAAACATTTAGAAGTTGAAGAAAACTCCATCTAGGAGGTATACACAATTACTAGAAAATAAACATGATACACAAATAATTAAATAAAGGATGGTGCATATTCCCAACCTATAGCAATCTATGGCTCTAAATTAAAATCTTCTACTGATAAAAATAAGAATAAAAAGAAGCCAAAGATTAAAAAAGGGAAATGCCTACCTAAAAGGACAGAACCATCAAATGCAGGGGGGCAAGAGTAAAAAAGCAATTGTAAGTATACAGAACACATAGGAAAAGAAATCTCACCCCACCATCAACACTGCCAAACTTGATTAACAGGTGATGTCGGTCCAAAAATTGCACCTTTTTATAAGAATGCAAAATGATGAAAATAAGGAATCAATACGAATAGTTAGAAGTGGATAATTGCATTTAGTAAAGGTCACTAAAATACATAGTAGATTTTGAGGAATACCTTCCAGATTATTAAATCAACATAATCTTGAAAATGGAGGTAGAACTTCTTCTTAAGGCTCTGCATTCTCTGATTACAAAAGATGTAGTCTCAATTAAAGGAGTCACAGAAGTTTAACTGGTATTTTGCAGTAATAAAGTTTACACAGATATTACGTTGCAAGTTGGTGGGAAAAAAAGTCTTTTTGATGAAAGAAAAATACATAGCAAGAAGTACACGTCAGTCAATTACTTCTGTTGCTTATCAAAGAAATGAAAAATAAATAAATAAAATTCAGTCAGTTATTAATCACCATTTCATCTAATTCATAAAAAAAAAAAAAAAAAAAAAAAAAAAAAAAAAAAAAAAAAAAGGGAATCATTAACCAGAAATGGTTTATGTTGCTATTGATGAATTTAATGGAGACAATGGAGTAGGAAACAAATGCAGCACACAAGGGATTACAAAACGAGGGGATGGAGAAGTGATCTTGTTATGGTTGTTGTGAATGGGGTAATGAATTGAGGGAACAAGTGTTGCAGAGTTGTTTAGGAAGGATTCAGCGTTGAGCGTTGTTGTTTTGTTTTATTTTGTTTTTCCTATATTTTTTAGAATTTAAACAAAAATATAAGAGTATTTGTTAATGTTTTTCTTTTCAGGAAATCTATGAAACAGAATAGGTATTTTCCTTATTTCTAAAACAACTTAAAGGCATACAGTGTCTACCTACTTCTCTCCCAGTCAGTCCCCATCCAAACACGCACATACACATATATCATATATGTACCACTCCATTACCCACCACCACATACAACTTACGCACCCCAAATCATAAATCTCATCAACTTTTCTGTACTAATTTTTTGTTTCATACCCCCTGCCCCCCCCCCCCCCCCCACCCCGTCGCGCGGGGAAGAGGAATCATCATATTGATAGGAAGTGAGATCTTTTATTAAATCCAATAGATTGTTGAATGTGTCATAAAAGTCACAACGATATATAATCTACCTTCCACAATCATACAGACAAACAGTTCATAGGAATTCAAGATCTGATACGTTATCCAGATGAAGAAAGGAAGGCAACTTCAAATATCCCACAATATGATAAATGAGAAAGAAATACCCAAATGTCCTGATTGTAATTTAAATAGCATACCACCATCACTTACCATGGTTTGATCTGATTCTTCATTCCATATCCCTCGAAATATGAAGGAAAGCAACCTTTGTTTAAGGACACCCAGGAAAGAAGTTTCTGGAATAGGTTGGTTATTATTAAGATTCCCTCCAACCTGGTGCAATTTACTTCTGTTAGGAATTAGCATTCTGTGAATATCAAGTGCTCTAAACAGAAACCAACACTTGAAAGATTCTAGTGTATTTTTCAAACAAGGGAGAACACATGAAGATGCCAAAAGTAGCAGATAAAAGGAACTCCGTAACATATATCAACAAAATATTACAGCTTGAACAAACTAATTAGGAACCATTAATAACTTATTGGGTGGGAGGAAGAATTAACTTTTTATATTCAGATGCAAGATTCAAGGTTGGGCTTAGTGTGCAAGGAGCCAATATAAGTAGTTTGTGGGAATGGAGATTTGAACAACTAGCTTGCAAAACAAAACTTAAAATGCCAGAGGTTAAAAAGAGACTGCATTTATTTCTTTAACTTATTTAAGCGTCTTTTCTTAATTAAATAAACCTCAAAATTATAAGACTGAAAAATAATAATAATAATAATAATAATAATAATAATAATAATAATAATAATAATAATAATAATAATAATAATAAACTAACTTAAACTTATACCCAAAAATAAAAGTCTGTATGAAAGAAGGGAAAGATCAATTATATGTTGTCCTTTAAATTCTCCAAGTTTTTAATTATTTTTCCAAATTTTAATCATTTCAAAATCAAAAAGCTACTTTCCTTATTGTTTGATTCATTGATTATTCAACTTATAAATGAGATTTGAAATACAATTATGAGGAAAAATCATTTATATTTGTCATGTTTAATGTATTTGAAACAAAAGATAGATAGCGCCCACACTCATTTATATTTATTAATAATTGTGCCCACACTCATCCAAAATCCTGTCTTCGCCCCTGAATTCATCCATCTTTGTTACAGTATTTTATAACAAGTTGCTCAAATTGTATTTCATGTGAATAGTTATCCAACAATTCTTAGAAGTGTATCCTAGGAAATACTGTTTCTACTCTTCCTTCAATATCTCAGGCTCTCAGAGTCTCAGCAATATGCATCATGGCTTCAAACACTAGCTGCCATTCTAGTAAGGAAAATGTGTGTCATTTTATCAATCTAATTTTATACTTATTTTTACAGTATGAAATAAAAAGAAATGTCAAACTGATAGTGTACTTGCCTGGGAGAAAGAATTGAGAAATAGTTCATCATCTTCGTGGCAAAATTCTCCAATGCATCGAACATCTACCAGGTCTCCGGAATCTCTTATCTGAAGAATGTGTATTCTTTGATAGCGAAGGGACAATATTGCTAACAAATTATCATACAAGTATACACCAATATTATGTGCCAAATTAATATAATCATTGCAGAAAACCCTCTCATCAAGTATAGCTCCATCTTCCAATCTAAGTGAATAAGAGCAAGGCACGAGAATAAGCAAGTAAACCAACTAATCAATAAATTATACTTGTCCATTGAGCTGAGAATCATGCACCTCAAAATGTGAAAAGTAATTTTTTCAATTGAAGGGATCCCATGGACTGCTCCAATGACAGAAGGTGCATCCTGAACTTGTGCAGTTGCGGTTGACGTTGCAAAGAGTCCAAATTGGCTGCTCTCCAAGTAGAGAAAAAAATCTTTGCATATAACCTCACCACTGGAAGCAAGTGAAACACTATAAAGCTGGGTGAAGAAGCTCTCAAACTTTTTGGCTTTCGGAGGAAGCTCATGGCCATTGCAATCTTCTTCATTGCATGAAAATGACAACCACGTTGGCCTATAAACAATCAGATCTTGAAGATCTCTGCTGAAGCTAATGAGATACAGACCATCATCAGTGAATTTGCGAAAGGATTGGTCAGGGCACTCCACATCATATACGGTGTAACTTGGAACTATGTCCTCATAAAATAGCCTGGCACGATGAATCTGCAAAATTCATTCATTTTTTGAACGCCAGTCAACATTAAAGGAAACCTAATTTGTTGATTTTTCAGGTCAAATTTGATCATGAACACCAATAACAACAAGCATAACAATCCATCAAACAAATGATTAAAGCATAAAGACAGCATAAGCAACGAGAAGAACAAGAACGGAATCATACGCTAGTTCCAGGAGCAGGAGTGCAAATCTGGCGCTCAAAAATCCTGGCAGTGATATTGTTGCTTCTAAACATCCGTACTGACAGTAATGGCGCGCACGCCAAAGAATTCACGGAGGGGCAACTGCTCTCAGCGCCTCAGGAGCTAGCAACTGCAAAATTCTGCAGAACATTCCCAATTTGAGCTAGCTTTCAGCAAAATCAGTTAAATTAAAATAAAAATCGATGAGTTAAAGCAATGAAGTAGCGGGAATTTCAAATTTGAGAGCACATGTTCAACAATTCCTTCCAACATTCAGCTTGGAACAAGAAGCTGAACATGAAGAAGTAGAAGAAGGAGAAGAAGACGAAGAAACTGTTTAGAATTCAAGAATAAATTCGTAAGGGAAAAAAAATGCTGGGATGGTCGATGAAGAAGACCAGGTCAAGCAGGGATAAAGTAGCGGTTGGGGAAGCTTTGGTGCTGTGGAACTGTGGACGACGAGTTAGGGCAAGAAGCCAAGGAACCATGAATGCATCATTTCTTCTATTCATGTTTGACCCCCATAAAAAAAGAGAAATATATTTTTGCCCCATTAATGTTCAACTTTGCATTTGATGTATGGTTAGGATATCTTTAGGGGGCGTTTGGTTCAGGTTATATAACATAACCAAGGGAATGTAACATTCCAAAACTCAGATTCCTATGTTTGGTTCATATTATCTGAGGGAATCTAACATTCCCAAGGAATGTCACATTCCCTCCACATAGGATTTTGAAGGGAATGTGATTCCCTTCAATTTCTTAGGTTATGTAAGATAACCTTGGTTATGTTAGAGATATTATAGTGTGTGTATAAAAGATAAACCTAAACCAAACATGATTATATAACATACACCAATTTTAACCAAACACAGGAATCTAAGATTCCCAGTAATCTAACATTCCCAGCAATCTAACATTCCCTAAGGTAATCTGACATTCCGTGAACCAAACGACCCCTTAGTTCTTTACTACTTTTCCCATCATGCAATCTTCTCATACTTTCAAAATATCACATCACTAAATTTGTAATATTTACTATTTACTAGAATTGTCAGAACGGTCCCGCAAGACGGGACGAACCAAATCTTGCCCCACGTGGCCAATCATTATACAGTGCACCAGGGCGCACATAGCACTGTGCGCCCCGCATTTCCCAAAATGACGTCGTTTTGTTAAGTTGTTAAAAAAAAATTCCGTTTCGAATGCACATAAATTCATAACAGAATACACATAAACTCATAATAGAATACACATAATCTAACATAATATATTAATACACATAAACTCATAACACAATACACATAAACTTTTAACTGAATACACATAACGGGTTTGGTTAACTGAATACACATAAACACATAACACAATACACATAAAATTTTAACTGAATACACTTAATGAGGTTTGGTATGTTCGGATGGACGGAGTGATGTCAGTATGACGTCAGCATGAAACGCGAACGTTTTGTGCCTGGACGCACATTGCTATGTGCGCCGTATTACACGATATAAATTGCCCCACGTGGCAAGGCGGGCTTAAAAGGCCACCAGAAACTAGTCGCCTTCTCCCGGAAGGCGAATAGATTTGATTGCCTCTCTCCCACCTGAAATGCTCTAGTCGATGGAAAAGGTAACCGGCATTTAGGAGCCAGTAAGTTAGTTGAGAAATATAACGCGATTTACTATCTCTATCTTTGATGATAATATTAGTATGTGGAGTACTTAAATTTGGATTCAAATTTAAAAATCTTAAAAGTGAGAATCACGTGGTCTGCTAGATACACCATTACAAATTTGGATTATTAATTAGTTCGATTAAATTGGAAACTACCTTATATAATATAACTTATGAAAGCACAGCGTTGCATTTTGCCTAATACAAATAAACAATGAGTTACGTGACGATATATAGGGCATGAGTAGGAGTGAAGTCACCTTAACCTGATTGAGGATAAAGTCATCTATTTATCAATTTGGACTAAGTAGTCCCGCCAATATTAAACGTAGATGACACTATATGCCATAATAACTTTAATATGAGTCACATAATGCAAATGGATATTAGCTTATAACCGATCATAAGAGATCAAATGCAGTAATATATTTCAAGTAAAAGATGAAGTTTATTTTGAGTCCTTGATCTAATCAAAATCAACGGCCTATATTGAATATATATTAAAAAATATGCAGTGACAATTTGGTCTTTTTGCGTCTAGGTCAAATTTAAGGTGTGTGGTTTTCCTTCTTAATGTGTATGGTTTTGTGCTTAAGGTGCGTGGTTTCTGTGCTGTGTACTTAAGATGCGTCAATTATTGAAACTCAATGTGCGTCGATCTAAAATTTAGGTGTGTGGCTTTTCATCTTAAGGTGCGTGGTTCCATGCTTAAGGTGCGTCAGTCTAAAGTTTTAGGTGTGTGGTTTTACTTCTTAAGATGTGTGATTTTCCTTCTTAATGTGCGCGATTTGCGTGCTTAACGTGCGTCAGTTGTTACAACTTTAGGTGTGTCGATCTAAAGCTTTAAGCGACTGTTTTTCCTTCTTAAAGTGTGTATTTGTAACACATAAGATGCGTCATTTTTTACAGTTTGCTTCTTTACTGAGGACACGCTTTAAAAAAATTGATTTGAGCCGTTGATCTAGATTTGATCAACGAATCAGATCTTACCCCATCTTTCACCTAGTAGAATCTCCGCACTTGAACCATGCCCTATAATTGATTATGATAATTATTTTAATTAACTAGTAATATTCAAGGTTTGTAATAAAATGGTTGGTAAATTAATTGTTTACATCTAGCGGGTAATATACTATGGAGTAATATGTAATGAGAATTAACAAATACCCTAAGAGGGAGAGGTGGATTAGGATATTAAAAATTAACTAGTATTTGTCCCGTGCGAAGCACGGAAAATATGTTATAAAAATATACCCTATATGAGGTTTATTCATATATAAAATTTTTGTTATTTAATAATTATTATGTGTGAATTCCTATGATAAAATTATGAACATAAATATATTTACAATTAAAATAATATTTAAGGTGCTTGCGAAAATATAAGCGATTATTGGCAAGTTTAAACATAAATAGTTGAATTATATTGCCGAACTTGAATTTTGTAATATGAATAGAGCAAAGTTCCTATCACAATATTTAATTGTGCTAAACATATACTCCGTATAACTTAATAATTTAAATAGACAAGGAAAGATTGAATCAATATTTTATAGTGATTCCACAATACGTAATCCACCACCTAAGGGCGTCTTCCTTAGAATTTCGCCAGCCACTATTTCGATCCATGTTCTTTGGTGGGCACTACTACCAACCTTGACGAACAACTAGTGTCGATAATTCTTTTACAACAAGCATATCGCAACATCCAAAAGATTCACAAATCCTTCTTACAACAAGTTATGAGAAGAAAAAGTATGAATTGTATGTTTCCTCAGTCTCTCAAAGACAAACAAATGTACAAGTTGTAGCTATATAAATTGTGTATATGATTAATAAAGGTTGTAAGCACAAAAGATTCAATATAGTATCTTGAAACCAATGAATGAAACTATTATGAGTTTAAGGCCTTCTAGAGATCAACGGAGTATATATAATAGGGAATGATTTAACAATAAATACCCTTATGTGATTGGTTCGTTAAGAACAGTAAGCTGATGGATAAATTTTAAAGCAATCTCTTCCTTATGATCTGCTGGTACATTTGGCACTCAAGAACCAGAGGATTTGGAATAATGCATGCATTTTTGTGTGTAGTTCACTGACAAATTCGACCCGTATTAATAAAAAACATTGATTTAAAAAAATATCATAAGGCATAGATTTAAAGAAAAAAAATTCCACTAATACATAGACTACGAGAATAAAAGAGATGTACCCACTATTGCAAAAATCGCGCCTAGGCGCTAGGCGCCCGACCTCCTAGGTCGCCTAGGCGTTTTAGGCGCTCTAGGCGGTCCCCAGGCGTCTAGAGGGTCAACATTGGATGTACCCAATGCAATTGTTATGCCATGACTCGGGTCCAGGTCCAAAACGCGCGTATGAAATAACGGTGCCGTTAGTGGCACCGTTTCCTCAACCAATGATATATATATTTTTTGGTGAATATAGACATCAAAATTGTGAATATAAATTTACAAATTGTGTTATACTGTTGATATAAATGTGAATATAGAGTTCAAAAATTGTGAATATAGAGTTCTGCAATTGTGGATATTGAGTTCGTAATTTTGTATATTGAGATATAAAATTATAAATATTCAATTTTAAAATTGTTAATATAGAAGAACGAATTTTGAAAACAAACGACAAGTAAAGAAGTTTTATTTTTTAAAAATAAAAATAAAAATTCAGACGGCGTCGACGCCGTTTTGGACCCGGTCCGCAGCATAATTTGCCTACCCAATGTGGTTCAATCGTTATGCTGTGCATCCGTATGCACCATGCATGGTGCATACAGATGTCAAAACGACGTCTTTTTATTAAAAAACGCGCGTCTCCCCTTAAAAAAATTTAGGTTCGATTCCCAGCAACAACATTATATTGTTCATTTATTTTGGAATTTTAGTTCATAGATTATGGAATTATAGTTCATTGATTATGGAATTATAGTTCATCGATTATGGAATTGTAGTTCATCGATTCTGAAATTTTAGTTTATAGATTATGGAATTTTAGTTCATTCATTCTGTAATTTTTAGTTCATAGATTAGATTATGGAATTATAGTTCATATGTTGTTGCTGGGAATCGAACCTGATTTTTTTTTAAGGGGAGACGCGCGTTTTATTAAAACGACGTCGTTTTTGCTGGTGCATACGGATGCACAGTATAATTTGCCAATGTGGTTGGTGTGTTGGGCCGTGCGGGTTGGGTGTCTGGCCCAATATGAAGATCCGGGTTGCTGGGCCAGTATCCTCTAATTCTCGCTTTCTCGGCACCAACATGGGCACATGGCATCACGGTTCCCTCCTCTCGCTAATCTCCCAGTTGGCGTATTACAACATTCCGTGTTTGATTCCACTCGACGGCGACACCGCCTAGTGCTAAATCCACATCAGTTCATAGAGGGCAACTTTCCGGCTGGATTCCAGGTGACGTGATCCTTCAATGCCTGTTAGATTTGGCCGTGAAGGAGATATTAAAGGTCATTAGGGGACAGTGATAAGGCGCTGGGAGCGAGTGCCAGGAGGAGGAGGAGATGAAGGGCGGTGGACCGCCTTACGCTATTCCGCCGGGGAAGAGGCGGTGGAATTTCCTGGTGATTGCTGTTCTCTGTCTCGTGTTTCTTTCCATGCTCGTGCCTCTTATCTTTTTGCTCGGCCTACACAATGGCTTCCATCCTTCACCCGGTAAGGATTTGGCTCTCGCGTTTTCCATCTTTGGCGTAGATCTGCATTTTTGTAATGCTTAAATTTGCTTTCCGCTGTTGCCTCAACCAAATCGATACTCTCCTTAGTTTATTCTTTGTGATCTGTGGAAAGCATTGCAATTCGGAGTTCTTTAGTTCCATTTACTTTCACTACAGCACAATGGAGCCCTTCTAAAAACATGTTAAAGGAGGGGGGCAACTCTGAGTGACTAAGGTCCAACGGTTCCGCTCAGACATGATTGATGAGGATCCTCATTATGAATTTCAAAGGATCGCATTCCTATCTCATCTCAATGGATAAACAAAATGAAAATGGAAAAGGAAGGACAAATTTGTAGTTTGCAGCTTAGGCTTTGTTGTAGTTTTCAGCTTAGGCTTTGTTGGTGGGAATTTTCACTAACAGTAACACACCTGCTGTTTGATTTGCAGGATATGTTACTGAAAAACAAACTTCATTCACTGTAAGTAGTGTTAATATTTCTGAATGTATTAGCGAAAATGGTTAATAGCTCCTGTATTTTCCTCTTTCTAATAGCTTACTCATTCTTATACTTGTTTCATTTCTTGGGGCTCCTGATCCTACCAGAAAATGGTTCATGTTTATGATCAACCTGAAGCTACTATATCTAGAAACAAATCGAAGGTGGGTACATTTGGCCATGTCTTCATAACCTGTTGATTTTCATTAAAGAAGTACCTTGAACTGCATAGATTCATTTCCTGTTGCATTAAAATACCTACACAGTTATGTGAAAGACTCTAGGGCTATAATTCTCATTGTGCTTATTCTTTATGCATGGTTGCAGGGTGAGCAATCAAGTCATATAGATGATGTTATAAGAAGATTGGAACCTACTTTTCCAAAGGTTTATTGCATATTATATGATGCTTATGAGTTATGACTAAATTTTTGTGTGTTGGGTTATCTATAATTGATTTATGTAGTGTTTTATTTGCTTACCCTTATCTATAGCTTCATGCTTGAAAAACTGTAGTTTGCCCTGGCTGCAAACTTATGGATCAGAATAATGAGTATTTAAAGTTTTTATAAAGAATTTGGGTGCTTAGAATAGAAAGTGTTTGAAAATTAGGCATGAATGAGAAACAGAGCAAAGAAAAGAAAACAGGTGAAAAACAAATGGACTTTTGTGATCATGAGATTGGAGGAATACAACTTTCTCAGATAGATACACAATTTCATAAGTTAAGCACAAAAGTTGGATTTAGAGCCTCACAGTAACCAAATGGATTACTGAAAACCCTAGATAGATGTATTTGCTCTATTATAGTGAGCTTGATGTTAGGTCCAAATTTGAGATTGCGTTTGGTCTTCATCAAATTTTAGTTTTGACCTCAAATGCAATTTGTGGCTTAGATATATTCAATCTCAAATGATACTAGATTTGGGTATAATGATTTAAATGAGACTCCTTATACTCTAAAAGAGTTTACCTCAATGCCTCCTGTTCAACTATATTCATCTGTTATATGAAATGATGTTCCAGCAGTTTTGAGAGTTTTGAAGCTTTATCTTACTTGTTTCTGGTCTTCAAGTTCAAACATGATAGCTGCTATTTAATTTTATACATTTTTTTAGCCCTATTCATTTGGTGCTCTGATTCAGGAAATTGTTTGATGGTTTTCTTTTCATCATATTGTTTTGAGTAAAGTAAAACAAGTGAATGTAACTTGATTTAATAAAGAAACATAGTACCAACATGTCACTATTTGTGTTACAAGAAATTAGTAGAGGCAGTTCTAAACAAGGAAGTTCTCTATAATTGGCCTAAAGAATGAAAATTTATATGAATATTTTCTGGATCCTTCTAGTTTTTATTTTTCAAAAATTCCTATAGAATGAACTTTTTTCTTTTTTAAGAAGAAATAGATTTGCTACTTTCACAAATTTTTTTTTCGGTTGACAGAGGGGCTACTTTTATTGAGTCATTTGAACTACTATTTGGTGGGTTCTTGTGACTCCTATGAATATTTATTCCTTATCTTTTTAAGATGAGGATCTTTTTCTTCTCTTCTCCTTTTGCCAACAGACAGATATTTGTGAAAAAAAAGTCTATGTATCAAGCTCTAAGGTTAACCAGCTGCCTTAATCATTGGTTGCATAGTAGGTCCAAGAAAAGAGAGAAAATGGACAATACGGGGAGTGGGTGTAGAGAAAAATAAGAGTAGAGTGGTCAAAGAGCATTTGCAGTTTTAGAAACAAGACTTGTAGTGGGATGATCCGATACTCTTTCCCTTGGTTTATCCCCACCACATGGAATAATTGTCTTTTTATATCTGAGAATAACTAACTGCCCATCCAGTGTTGATTGTTGAACATTGACCACCTAGACACTATTTGACTAATCCATTACTGAGAAGTGATATGTAACACAAGAACTACATGAGTGCTTTGCTGAATGTTCATTCTTAAGGTTCAATATTTGAACTAGCACATATCATTAACTTTTAACATTACACATGTTTACAGGATTTTCAGAAGAACATTATAAAGGAAGCTGAGAACAAGACTACTATTGGTAGGGTATATCCATCTTAATTAACTGTGTTCTATCTCACTTTGTGTTGTGCAAGTCTTTTTATGTTTCCCTACATTTAACAATCCTTTCCAAATTGCGTCTGCCTAGCTTCTCTCATCTCTTGCCTCCTTGCATAACTATATGGATTGCAGTGTTCTTTATTTTAATTTCATCATTGTACTAATTTGATTTTATTGGTAGGTCCTCCGCTGCCAGTTGCTATGCCTAAAGAACACCCTAAAGAAAATGTATGTATTTCTTGAGTTGCCACCTATTTCTTCTTTGTGAATTCTCTATGAGTTCTTGGAATTGGGTCTGTAAATCATGATCTAGATTTATGTCACAGAGCAACAAGGTTCACAGTAAGGGTGCTGCTGCTGAAAAAGTGAAGGATACTGAGGAGAGTGTAAAGCTTTGTGAATTAAAATATGGGAGCTACTGCTTATGGCGTCAACAAAACAGGGAGAAAGTAAATGATTTTATTGTGAGAAAGATGAAGGACCTATTATATGTGGCTCGGGCTTATTATCCTAGCATTGCAAAGCTTCCAACTCAGGACAAGTTATCACTTGAAATGAAGCAAAATATTCAGGACTTTGAGCGTGTGCTTAGTGAAACTACTGTTGATAAAGATCTTCCCTCAATGTATGTTCAATTATTATTATTATTATTATTATTTTTATCTCTAGACCTATATGCTTATATTTCTAATATTCTCTATGATGGGAATGAAATTTTTTACCTATCATATATGCTTATATTCTGAACTCACTATGAATGAAATGATGTTGCATCCTCTCTTGTTTACTTTAGGAAGGATGTTGATTGTGAATTCATTGTGGTACTATATGTATATGAATGCACTGATTGACACGATTAGATACAAACCAGGACTGCACCATAAATTCCAACCTTTGTGGGTAATTGGGTTTATTGTCTCCAAGATCCATTTTGGGGCTGGCTAGCCTGACTAAGTAGTTTTATCTTTCCAACTTTTACTATCTCCATCTGTTTCTTTTCAGTGTGAAGGAAATATATTCAGTAGTTCAAATTAAGACATTAATTCCTGTTTTTGTTGAATTTTATGTTTAGAAGCAGTTGGGTGCCTTCTGAAACTTTCAACAAACAGTAGGAAGGGGAAGAAGCTGCAGCTGAAATAATTCTTTCAAAGGATGAATATCCTGATTTAGTTAGGACTTTTGTTCTCTTTTTCAGTTTTGTTGGCTATTCTTTCAGGGTTTAAAATGGGCAAGTATAACTAGCCCCTTGGGTTTATTTTACTTGATTTGATTAACAAAAATAGCATTTTTCTATCTACTTGCATTGGATTAAGAATAGCAAGAGAGTTGTGGCTGCCTGAAAAGAACCCAAATAACTCTGTTCTCAAAAAAGGATTTTATTTTTCATGATTAGTCCTCATATTGGGTGATAAATTTACACTTTTTGTAATTGTTAAATAAAAGTTTAGTTATTTTAGTTAAAAAATATTCATGCAATATTGGTTAAGTATTATAGACTGTCACAATACATTTTTTTTGACAAGTAGATTGTCATGTTGCTAAGTCTGCTTTTTGTGTGTTTTACCAGGATTGAAAACAAGCTAGGTAAGATGGAAGCTGTAATTGCGAAAGCAAAAGCTTGTCCTGTGGAATGTGGTAATGTTGACAAGAAATTTAGACAACTAGTGGATCTGACAGAGGATGAAGCTAATTTCCATGCAAAACAGAGTGCTTTCCTCTACCAACTTGCGGTACAAACCATACCAAAGAGTCTCCATTGTCTGTCAATGCGACTTACTGTGGAATATTTTAGATCTTCTCCACTCGATGAGGAGCAGTCTTTGGCAGAGAAATATTTGAATCCTGATTTGCACCATTACATTATATTCTCCAAGAATGTACTTGCATCATCTGCAGTTGTAAACTCTACAGTTCTGCATGCAAAAGTACGTATTTGCTCTCTTATCATTTTCTTGCATTGCTCAACTTATTTTATGCTATTAACCAATTGTTGGTTGGTTTCTTTGTATATATCTTCAGGAAAGTGAGACTCAAGTATTTCATGTTCTGACAGACAGAGAGAATTACTTTGCTATGAAATTATGGTTTTCTCTAAACAAGTATAAGGAAGCAACAGTCCAGGTTTTGAATATAGAGGACCCTAATTTGGATGATGTTAAGGGGACTCCGACGCAGCTCTTGTTGCCTGAGGAATATCGTATTTTCCTTCATAAAGTCGATAAATCATCTACGATTAAAAGAACGGAGTACTTATCCGTGTTTACTCATTCACACTATCTCCTTCCTAAGATTTTTCATTCTTTAAAGAAAGTAGTGGTTTTGGATGATGACATTATTGTCCAAAGAGACTTGTCAGACTTATGGAGAATTAATTTGGGTGGAAAAGTGAATGGTGCTGTACAGGTTTGCTCAGTTAGGCTGGTTGAACTGAAGAACTTTTTAGGTGGCAAGATTTCGGATGAAAAATCTTGTGCTTGGATGTCAGGATTAAATATCATTGATCTTGACAGGTGGCGGGAGCGAGACCTTTCTGGAAAGTTCCAAGGACTTCTGCAAGAGGTTAGTTTCCACTTGTTCCCTTAAAATTAAACTCAAGACATGTATGCTAGAATTTTTTATGTAGTTTTTAAACATTTAAATCTTATACACTAAAATTAAATTAAATTAAATATTACAAAAATTGAATTGTAAATAGCTCGAGTCAAGTCTATCAAGGCATACATTTTAGGATGGAGGGAGTATTACCAACTCTGGTATTCTGTATGTGTATCTTTAAGTTACCTATAAGATAAGCTAGGAGGTAAATTTTACTTGTAAACTACTATTTTATAGTAGCAGATACTATCAAAATCCCAATTTACACTGTCTAGATATATTTACTCTTGATGTAGTTATTACAAGTTTAAAATACAATACTGTCTCTGATCCAACTATAAAGCATGCATTACATACTCTGTATTTTCCTTGAAGTGAATGTTATCTAAGTTTTGCATCTTTGTTCAATGGGTACAGCATTTGAGCACAGAAGAAGGTTTGTCATTGCGTGCCAGCTTGCTTACCTTTCAGGATGAGATTTACGGTCTTGATTACAAATGGGTTTTGTCAGGATTGGGTCATGAATATGGTCTTGATACTAAAGTTGTAAAGAACGCTGGTGTTTTGCATTTTAACGGTAACATGAAACCCTGGCTTGATATGGGCATCCGAGATTACAAAGAATTTTGGAGCAAGTATCTGAACAAGGAAAACCAATTGTTAAGAGATTGCAATGTGAATTAGTAGACTTCTTGATACTCTTAGGTTTCTTTCTCTGCTGAAGTTTCAGTGAAGTAGGGGATCAGAAGTATGCACAAAAATGGCTCTTGTGGATGCGCCCATACCATAGCATTCTCCCAAGCTGAGGGAACTTACAGGCAAAATGTAGCATGATGAATTTGATGCTGTGTGTTTCTATTGTTTTGTTAATAAGGAAAGACGGTTTATTTAACCTCTTGGCAAGTCCAAGACGAGGTGGCAGCTTCATGTGTTAATTCACACCGGTGAGCATAGAGAACATTCAGTGGGAAATTACTTGTGCATGCACCGCACCATCCATCTGTGGCCATAGTTACAAGAAGCAAACCGTGGGTATTCTTTGAACAGGATGATGTTTTTTTCTGTTTGCTCCCTGGAGAATCCCCCCATCTTATTCGTAGGGCAAAGGTGTCAGGCTAAAAGGCCATTTTAATTCCAATAGAGCAAAATTACATAGTTGATGTTTGTGTGTTTTTTTATTCTTATATTGATCCCTTCTGTAAGACACTACAATTTATTCTCAACCAGTAGCAATTCTTTTCCAATTGTTTTAGGCTAGTTGCAGCTTCATTTTGGCTTTAGCTTTCACAATTAAACTCTACTAATATCTAGTATCCCATGTTTTGTAACTCATCAATTTTTAATGCATAGTTTCTTGCCTTTTTCTTCTTTTCTACTTCTTATTTTAGGAATTGAATCAATGTGAATTGAGTTTTGAAAGACTGTGAGAAGGGTTCAATCTAACTCACCCATTTGGCCACTCATTTCAGAGATATATCTCAGTTTTGGTGAGCCTCAAAATGAATGTTTGACATTCTTTTGGCACGTCAGAGGGAATGTTGCAAAATCTTTGGCAACGAATGTCTACCGTACTGATGATCTTTGGCCTCAAAATGAATGTCTAACGAATGTTGCAAAATCTTTGGCCTCAAAATGAATGTTTGACATTCATCATAACTATCATGAATGGTTATCATCATAATGTCCAATATTATTGACACAAAAAATATTTCCAGACAACAAAACTAAGGAAGCCATCAACATATTACTCGAAGAGAGATGGGATGGTATATTTGATTTGATGTTGAATTTTGCATGCGAAATGCTAACATGAATAACCATATTTCTAAATTACAATCGAAGTGAGACAACAAATGGTACAATTTGAAGTTTTTGCATGTATTAACTTGGTACAATTTGGTATGCGAATTACAACTGAGGAATGAAAGTACCGGCAGGCTGCTTTCATCCTTCTAGTTGATTAGCCGAAGCCGATGACTCCACAACTGGAGGTATACAGTCCACCTTGTAACGCAGGACCTACACGGTGAAAAACAAAATGGTAAGAGTATACCAATAGGGTGAGAACAAGTTGTCACTCTAATCTCTATACATACACATGCTGCATAAACACACAAATATGATAGCATGTTTGTACCAGGTACAACCAAAAAAACTTTTGGGTTGTACCGGGTATTGAGCAGACATCCATTTATTATTATTATTTTTATTTTAACAATCCAAGTTTCACAACCTATGAAGCTGCCTCCCGCCCATGAGAAGGTAAATCGAGCTAATCTAGCTTTGAGACTCAACACCAAATTATACACTAAGGAGCTTCTCCCAAACCAAAACAACAAATGTTCGGAGCAGGGATTGAACCCCACCCTGCCGTTAGAAGTAAATCTTAAGTGAACTTCTCATCCACTAAACTATGCCTAGGGGCACAAGCATCCATTTTTTGTTGTATCCTCTGTGTGTGTGTGTGTGTCTGTGTTCCATATTCTAAAGCTTCAAGACTGATAAGTTTGTGGCAATAGATGGATGCAATATTTCAGGTACCTTGCTGAAGAATGATGAATAAGAATTGTCCCATACGAGTTTGTAATTTCCAGCCATGCATGTGCAGAAGTTGCCCTGTAAGAGAACCAATAAGAATGGTGAGAACACAAAATTACGACACAAAAAACATGTAGTTGAAAGCAATAACTTACTTGATCAGATTCATAGCGTCTGTAAGGTAAGATTGGCTGTATTGCAATGACCAAGAATACATGGAAAAAACAAAGCAATTGAAGTCACGAATCATAAACAGAAAGAAATTGTTCTGATGAAACAAGAAAGGTAATGGAATAGTAATACCGTCTTCTTTCCAGAAGAATCTTCATACTCCATGCTAAAACCAATATCCTGCTGAAAATTTTGGTACATCAATGTAAGCATTGACTAGCTACTATCATAGATTAAAAAATCATCAAAGAATGCAGAGAAAACTGAAGGAAAAGAATTTCAAAGCATTGATGATACCAAATTCAGTCTCCCTTGGATCAATGAGAAATCCCAAGCAATATAAGAATTTATGTCTTCAACCGTCAATGAAACCTGAAAAAAGTAGGCCAATAACATGACTACGAATCATCAATTAAAGCAACTCTTTCTAGCCCAGACAAAAGATTAGGTAGTAACATGAGGTGCAGCAGTATGAAAATAAGCAACATGTATCAAACATCAAAGCTCTTTTATCAACAAAGAAGCTGACCTCGTGTGTTTTTCCTGCTGCAACACTTACTTCCTGGTATTCTTCATTTTTACTGCACCCAATAACGATTTAACCACAGTTAATTTTCAGAAACAAACCTGAGAAGTTTTGAATTGTATATTTAGTCCAAATCCTAACTCCTAAGTGTTCAGATGATAACATAAAGGAGTAAAGGACCGCAAACACACCTGGCCTCTATTGCACCAGCATCCTCAGCAGTAATAAAAAATGGAGCATTTACAAATACATTACTGAAAAAGGATATGAAAGTACATTTAAATAGGCAGAAAATGAAAAGAAAAAAAAAAGGATATCCAATAAATTTGCTGAATCTTTTCCTAAGCACATCAGGCAAAAAAAAAATAGTAAGGGGTACAGAAAGCATGAAATCCAATTTTGTATTTTAAAAAAAAAAAAAAAAAAAAAAAAAAACACACACACAAAGCGTAATATTACCCAATAAATTTGATGAACCTTTCAAACTCAGATACATAGACATCCACTGCTTTTTCCAGAACAGGTATTTGATTCCCTTGTCTGCTCAGATAATAAGAACAAAACGACTTAGTAGCCCATCACAATCACATCACAAGCAAGGGAATAACATGTTCTTAAGATAAAGTTAAATTACAATAAAATTTAAATTTAAATTTAAATCTTAAAAATTACAGAATCTTAGTAAATCTCACAGTTTTCCCGCTTCAAGGTGCTGCCATAGCAGAGATAGAAAAAGTCGAATGTTGAGTGCCATTTTGGTAAGGCTGTACAAAGGTGGACCATAACGATGTCGCTGCTCTTCCATTGGCCTGGTGTTAAAATAGAGTATTAGACTTCAAAAATAAGGAGAGAAGAATTGCTAATGGGTTCATAGATCAATTGCATATGGACCCAAGTAATAGAAGATTATGAACAGATTTTCAAAAAATAATAAGGTAAAAGGTAGTCAGAATTGAGGAAAAATAAATACCCTTCATCATCATTTATCTGTCGAACAAAATCCAGCAACACCTGCACCATAGTGTCATATGATAAAGTAAATAACTATTATTGACAAGACTCCATCAACAGTATCAGCAAGTAAAACATGCCTAGCATGTCAATCTTCAGAAAGGAAGTAATTAAACAAAGTAATGCTGGATAATTCAGACTGCTGTGCCATGAGGCATCCATGACACAAGGAATTGGAATAAGGAAAAAATATATACCATGGAAAAAGCATTCTGCTATAGGAAATCAAAATGTATACTTGGGTCAGAATTATAAATCAAGGCCTAGGCTGTATCCAGTAAATTTTGACATACTTGTGGTACTCCAACTAAATATTTCACCAGCGTCTTATAAACACCCGTTGCAGAACCCAGCTGAGCTAATTGCTTCCGTCTATAAGAAGTTAAATTCATCAGTGGTTAGACCATGTCACAGAGTGTAAAAAGAACAACATTTTACCAAACCAATTTTTACCGTTCCATCTGTTGATTCCATAATAGAGCATATTGTTCACGTATACTTCCACCAGAGTTAATTAAAGCTTCGACTGCAGCCTGCTTATTTCTCTCAGAACGCTCTTTCTGTTGTCTAATTAGTGTACCACGGAAGTCTTGAGGCAGGTAAGTCATAACTGCAGATATAATCAGAGAAACCAGAGTAAGTGCCAAATTTAACCCTGTTGCATAAATCATCAAGATTGCTATATGTATGGAACAAAGTCCTAATGAACACAACAAGACTTGAAGACTTCATGAAAAAAAATAGCAGACCAAATTAACTTGGAGTGCAATTTAACTAAAAGACTTCACTACACCTCTAGTCATGATGTGAACTACCAAACTCCTCTACCTTCATAATAAAATCAGTAAAACAACAGGCAATGATTACTAAAACATATAAAATATGAAAGTCAATGATGTGAATTGTTGCTGCTTCTCTAGTTAGTTTCACAATTGACTTGTTAGCATACATGTTTGACATTCTCTTAAATGAGCATGTTGTTATATATACCTGATAGCTTTCAAATAATCTGCAGCTAATATTATCTTGCTAGTTATAGTGTTGTACAAGTATAAAACACTGGTTCTCCCTTGAGCTTGATGAAGATCTTGGCAGTGAGGAAACCAGCAGTGGCTCTAGGTTTCCACAACTATTGAAAGAAATTTTTTTTCTTTATTATTTGATTTAATACATTAAATATTTATAAATATTTTTGAAATAGATAAATATTGACATTGCATGTCCACATCAATATATTTTAAACAGTTAGCGCAACGTTAGTGGTCACATAAGCAATTTTAACAGTTATAGTTAATGTCTTAATGACATTAAATTTTTCTTTATTTTATCAATTTCAAGAGTATAGAGAATAAATTAACCAAAATTTTAGTAGAGGGGCTAAATTGAACAAAGTAATTTAGTACAGGGACCTCTGACATACTTTGACCTGCTAATTATTATTGATGAGTTCACACAGCTTATAGTAATTGCTAACAAGTTAATCAATATATACACACTAAGTGTGTGTGTGATAGTTTATACATGTGCACAAAGTATTACATCAACCAACCAACCTGTGTTGAATACATGTTCAGAATTCCTGGCTTGGAAAGTTACCAATACTTCCAATGCACTTTCAAATTTTTCTTTTAACCGCAAGAGGACAGCACCAAGTTCAGCATCTTGAGCTGTTGATTGTTGCTGAAGCTGAAATATAAAGGGAAAAGAAACACATTTCTATTAAGCCTATGGAAAATTCAAGAATTTCAAGGTTGTTAATAAACTGATTTGGTAAAGTTAGTGATCACTATAACTGACGCATGAATTTCTAAGCATTGCCTTGAAACTATAAACAAACTTAAATACAGAACATCAATAATTCAACACAGCCAGAACTTAAGACAAGGTCAATAGAACTGAAACTTAAAATCATAAAGCCGTGTTTCTCACACCATTGTAGGCCAATTGGATCTTTTCAACAAGAAAAGTATTTCTTCAATCTGTTCCCGGTTTTTCCACATGTTCTCATCAA